ATTGGATCACAAAACTTAAGGAAATTAAGCACTGGTTATATTAATTAATTTCTCATGTAAGGAATTTTAAGTCTACAATGAAAAGCGTGGGGTAAAAATACAAGAAAGTAAATATGAAAAATAAAAGACTTAATTATTTTTACTGGAAACATCGTTATTGAAAATATTGATAGTTTTTATATTAATATGTCTGTTGTACTAAAAGACACGCCTGTTACATTGTCTTAGAATAATGTATTACAGTAAGTTTTTATTATTTTAATACGTCTGTTGTACTGAAAGTTTGGGGACGTCATCAACAGAGACATTTAGATTACACTATAAAAGAAGAGTATATAATTTTTTTCACACAAATGTTTAAACTTAAGCTTGAGTATAGTAATAATAGTCTTCTTTAACATGTTTTTCTTATTTGTCAGCAGATATTATAATACATGCCAAACTTATCTAAATTACTTTTAAGTGATATCAAACTAACAAGGTTTAGAATTGCCCCTTAAGTTTGTATATTTTATAAATATTCAGATAGACAGGGAAAAAAACAATTTAAACTGATTTTTTTGGGGAGTAGAAACATAAAAGTATTAAGTTTCACAATGTTTCTCAGGATCTTTGTTCCCGAGTTTTTCTTTGAAGCAGTTTTTTGTTGTTCTGCAGTTGCTTCTGTTGTTAAAAGAAGCTTGGGATTTATCTACTTTATATAACTATAAACATGTGATACTAACTTATAAATTTTACTACATGCTAAACAGATGTGTAACATTTATGTTTAACTTAGTATTGGATATAAGAATTTATACATAGCAGTCCAAGAAATATAATTATTTTTCACCCCACATCAGGAGCAGTTCTAAGTCACAAGCATGCATATATGTGAAAAGACATAGTTGATGGTCATATTTATAGTTCGGTTTTTATTTGTATATTTTTGATTTTTGTTAAAATTATCGAGTTTTGCTGGTAATACATAAGGTTATTTCCCTGCTACTTTGTAATTTATTTCAATTAATGTAAAGGAAGAAATAATAGAGAATGCTTCATATGATAAATTGTGATTTTTTTTGCAGAAAAATATAACTTGGATTACATAATACAAATGTAACTTTAATAGTGATATTGGTTTAGTTAAATGTAATTATTTCTGTGGTTTTCAGTATGTATAAGTGTTTTTGAGCATAATAACTGTTTATTGCATTTGAAAAATGTTATTCATATAGTTCATTGATCAATACAAAACAGAAAGGTTTAACAGGTTTTGCAGTTAATTTCTCTTCTGTATATCGTCTTCATTACCAAGAAGTATGTAAAATGCTGTATGTACTTTAGAGGGTTTAAGAGTTTCATTGATTATGTACCTTAGTTTATAATGTGTATTTACAAAATGTAGTATGTATGACAAGAAGATCATAAATGTATTTGATTTTCCTTTTCTTTTAAACAATCATTTTTTTTATGAACATTTAAGTTACTTGTCACAAAGAGTGTTGATTTTGAAATATGTTTAAAACCTGAGAAGAAAAAAAATAGCACCCACATTTTTCTTGCAGTTGAAGCATTTTGTAATAAGACAAAAAATAAACCATAGATTGTATTTCTTTCTATCACATTTAAAAAATGTTTTCATTCTATTGACATTTTCTGAAAAAATACACATGGAATTGGGTCTGCATTGTCATTATTAATACTAATTCTTAATTCCTTACCGATTTTGAACTGTAATAATAACAACTGACTGTGTTTAATAGGATAAGTAGTCAAAGATAAAACATTAAATAATATTATGAGATCTAAGCTTTTGAATACTGTATTTTATGATATTACAGCATAAAGAAAGCTGGCTGTTACTTTACGTCATAAGAGATCAAACATGAGGGCTTTTCCAGATTAAATCACCTATAAGTCCAATTTGAAATTTAATTAGACAAAAAAACAACAAGGCTTAGTCTTCCAATTAGTAATGATAACTTTGTAAAAGTTTTACAGAATGTTTTTTTTTTTAATAGGCTCACTTTGGTAAATGTGAAGGATTACAAATTTCATCAGGTTAATAGTATTGTTATTAAAAGTTTAACAAGATTCATCTTGACCAAGTGGATTCACTTTGTCAGGCTGCTAATATTGTTGTAATGGTTTGTGTTTATTTTTTTGGGGGGGGGGGGGGGTTTGGTAAGAAAAAAAATGGAATGGGCAGTCCATTTAATGGTAACAAATATGTTTTATTTCTAAAACTTCAAGTACCATGTTAATGTAACCAGTGTTTATCAGAAGGCCTAACTTGAGAAATAAACTACATCTAACAGAAATTACACTTGTTTGCTAAATTTGTATCTCTACAGTCATAGTTATCCATCAAATGTATGAATATTTGTGGCCCTATAATCCATAAACTGCAGAGAAATGCATGGTTGGTACTTTTGATTGTCTCACTTCTGTAACTAACTGTATCTCATCTTTAGTCTTTTTATTCCATTCCAAATTGTCATTTTTCTACTAATGGTGGTTTTGTTCTCAACAATAATTTGGGTGAATGCAATGCGAGATAGCAAATTCTGTTTTCATTTGGTTAGGATTTTATAATTTATTTGTTATTTCTTCTATTGTTTAGTTTATCTATGAATTTTTAGTTACATTTAAAATGCTAACTCACCTTAACATAACATAATATTTTGTGACAACATAGGACCTATTGGTCCATTGCAGCTGTTCCATCCTCAAAATGGAATTAAAATGATTATAAAAAAAATTTAAACCCAGTCCTTTTCATTCATATACTTATCAAGCTTTTTCTTA